CAATGTCATTGGAAAAAGGACAGTATGTTGTAAATTTGTATGGAAACAAAGATCTATGAAGAAAATGAATAAAACCAGACAGTAAAATAAAAAAAAATATGTGGTCAGTAGATTTTAAAGAGCATTAACAACAGTTTCTTCACTCCAGATTAAAAAAAAAAAATCAAAATAAGTAAATAAAAGATTCAAAATGAGAGCATCAATTCTATCAATGTATTTTAAAGAATATAATTTCTTACACATCAGGTTTGTCCTAACATTTTAACTTTAGGAGGTTGAACTATAAATCGATTCAGTCCAGAAACTTAATTACTCGAATTATAGGATGCAGTATAGTAAGTCTTGTATAAATCCTCAATGTGTCACATGAAAATAATTAACATTTTCTGCAGAGTAAATACTTTTCCTCCGTGGACGATCTTTGTTTTTCTGGCTGCTCATTCAATCCGTATCTTTGGCGCCCCCATGTGTCCATAAGTTTACTAGGACTAGGTCATCGTTCAAGTAACAAATTTTTTTTTCCGGCGAAAAATATCAGATAATTTAATTGCTTCCTTGCATTAACCTAAAAAAATCACTTATATTCTTATAACTGAAATGAAAAGGTCTGAAAAAATAACATCTCCATTTATTTTCATGACGAAACATATGCGGGGTGACGAATGACGGCTTTAGGTGTGCTTGTTTTACTGTAACTAATACGCCGCACTCCGCTTTGCCGTCGACACATCAGTTAGCAGCACCGCCCCACGGAGAGTGAGGAAAATAAATCCAACAAGCGACCACATCAGCCTGCACTCCACCGGCTGAGAGACTGCTGGCTCATCCATCGTTAGCTTTTGATAGAACCCCACTCGGTGCAATCGGTTACTTTAACGACTATTATTGTATTTTGTCGTGTTTTTGTTCTTCCCGTTGACAATGGCGGATCCTAAATACGCAAACTTACCAGGAATTGTAAGTGGCTAACGCTATGACACTACTAGGTGGAAGTGCTAGCTTACAGCTTTGCAGCAGGGTCGTTTATCTGTATATTTCCCACAAATACTATCCATTTAACACCCCAAAAATTTTACATTTCAGTAGCAAATATTAAGCTAATGTAATGCATTATGTTGTTAGCATTCAGAAACGCCAGAGGAAACCTAATGGTGTTGCTTTAAGCCGGGGCGTTGGCCAGGCTAACGCAAAATAAACCAACGGAATATCAATATTTTATCGTTTTGTTTCATTAGGCTTTTAACGAACCCGACGTATACGAGACCGGCGACCTTCCAGAGGATGACCAGGCTCAGTTTGAATCGGTAGGTGGACTTGCTGCGTTTTCTGTGTATGTTTATTAACCTTTAGCCTGTTGCTAATGCTAATGCGCTAACTAACGTTTAGCCCTCCTAATGGACCAAATAGGTTCCTTCATTGTTTTAAGGGTTATCTGATTAGTTATATTGCTAACAGGTGTATGTTTTGAATCTTACTCCGCCATTCAGTTAGTGATTTTTCTTTCTTATAAATGAAGCATAACTTATAACTGAGAGATACTGTTACTAACTTCAGAAATGAATGAATTAAAAACTCCTTTAGCAGCCATGTCATTTGTTGGTACTTAAATGAAAGGTTTAAGTTAATCGACTTGCTTCACTTCTCCCAACAAATGATACACACCCTTTTTTTTGTTAAGTATTGCATAAAAAGGACAAAATGTATCCACAATTTGAAAAAGAAATAAGCAAATCCCCCTGAAGTCTGAAATGCCGTCTATAATTACACCACGATGATCATCTTGTGACCTTGAGAAAAATGTTATGTTTTTCTTGGTTATCAGTTTATAATAAATTTCATTGTTTTGGTGTTCTTTTTCATATTTAGGGGTTTGCTTTTATTTATTTTTTATTCTCTTTTTAATAATCTTATGTTGACAGAGCAGCCAAGTAAATTTTAGCCGCATTTTTTCCCCATTCTATGATGCCACATTCATTCTCCCTCTTCTCTTGTCCCCTAATTTGACCTCTCTTCATCCCTCCTGGGACCCTAGTGTGTACAAGTAAGACTTCTCTCAGAGAGCTTAATGCATGATGGGTTTTTTAACTTACGGTGATATATCAAATGTTCCTATACGCACTGATTTAGATGAGAAACAGAATTGCGTTGTGGTTCTTTTCCCTGTGATTCTTCAAAAAATGATTGATGACCCTGATGATTTGGTTTAAATTTTATCCAAGCCTAAATGATGCTGCAGGTCTTTTGAAGCACTGATTGATGTGCGCATGCATGCGTGTGTGTATGTCTTAAAAGAGACATTCTGTTGATTAACCTGTGTTCATGCTCTAACAACTTGCTTCTTGGCTAACCCTTAATTTTCTAACTTTCAAAAGAGCTGCCACTTTTTTATTTTTTAGGCCGTGCCTGTCATATTTGACAGGTTGACTGTGAAGGAAACATACTAGCAGTATGAAATAGGGTAAAATTATGATCCCTCTTTTATGAAGAAAGGGGAAAAAATCAAGAAGTGACATTTCAGCTTGTTTCCCACATTTATTCCCTTCCTGTTTTGTATCAAAAAATAAGCTTTGGTTAGTAGAATTCTATCACAGTACCACAAGCTTATTTTTGTTCAGTTCACAATTCCTGGAGTAATTCTGATTAGTTACTCCACAATGTTTTTTCTTTGGCCAGTGTGTTTTACACAGTTCAGGGGTGCCAGGGAATCATTATCTGATCTATTGGTAGATTTATCAGGTATGCAACCGCAATGATAGTTTCTCAGTGTTGAGGTTTGTTTCAGCTGTTGGATTCAATCACTAGCTGGGCTGCAGAAATATTTAAAAAATCGTATCAAATTCAAACCCTGCTGTATAGCGCTGGGAAGGCTCCATAGTATCACGTATGTTTAAAATTATTTAAAATGTTATTTGAAAAAAGCTATATAATTCAAAATAAACACTTTTTTTATACTGCTCCTAAAATATAACATTTCACAATACAGGTTTAATTGTCTCTATACTATAAGTTAAACATGTTAATTTAATCAATTCAAAATGACCCTTTCTAACATTAAGTTGTTTTTGATTATTTGTTGTATATAAATTTATAAAATGTTATTATTCTGCTCTTGAAAATGGTAGTTGTTTTAAGACAAGCTATGGCTTGACTTAATTAAGGCTGAAGCAGATAGATTATTAGTGATTAATCGATTATTGAAATAATTGTCAACTAATTTAATAATTGATTAATTGTTAACTGGAGTATCTCGATTCTAAAACATGTCTTTATCTGAAAGAGCGACCCATTTAGAACAGTAATTGTATCAAGATTGTAAAAAGAAAAACTTATATCTAAATTTTGCATTTAAGATTAAAAAAAAAACAACAAAAAAACATGTTTTGTCTGTCAATATGCTCTATCAAAAACTCAA